AAGAATGTCTAAGCCAGGCCACACTTGTGATGGTTTAACTCTGGGTACCTCACATCCCTGCTCCAATTCATTGTGTATTTCACCCTAAAGCTCCTGTCTATATCCTGAAGATGGTACAGGATGGGTTGAAGTGCTTTGTCTCTTCCTGAAGCTATCACATAGTAAGTCTCTTTTCTCTACCCTTCACCATGATACATCTTTGTAAGTGGCCAGCCTTAACTTGTGGGACCCCAAATTTCAAATTTAGCTTTAAGATCTAATTGGCTTTCACTCATGAGTCTAGAGCAGGCAGCAACTCATTCTATAAACAATGAGAGCTCTGAATAGCCAGTCAGAGGAGGTCAGAGGTCAGCTATGTAGGCAGAAAGGGCTGAAGAAAACAGAAACAGAACAAAAAGTGGCCTGATCATTAGTTATTTTCTTAGGGGATTAAAAGAGGATGATACCAGGTCCTGCCTGTAATCCTAGCTACTCAGGAGGCTGAGATCTAAGATCCAGGTTCAAAGCTAGCTTGGGTGGGAAAGTCCTAGATATGCTTATCTCCAAGTACCCACCAAAAAGCCAGAAGTGGAGCTGTGGCTCAAGTGGGAAAGCACCAGCTTTGAGTTGGAAAAGCCAAAGGACAGAAAAAAGAAAAGAAGGAAGGGAGGGAGGGAAGGAGGGAGGAAGGAAGGAAGCAAGCAAGCAAGGAAGGAAGGAAGCAAGGAAGGAAGGAAGGAAAGGACAAAAAAGGGGGTGTTGCTAGAGCTAGGGGGAAGTTCCAGGCAGGGAGTTCCATTGACTCCACCCATCCAGAAACACCAATCAAAGAGCACAGCAGTGGTGCAAACAGGAAAGCAACTTATATTTCCTTCCTCTTTGTTTCCAGTGGTTACAAATAGCCTGGCAGCCCTATGAGGAAGATAGGAACCATAGGAGCCACAGGGTAGTTCTGAGTGCAGTCAGTCAAGAGAGCTTTCCACCTTGACAAGGCTTTCAGAGGCTTGATCAATATTAACTAGGAATATTAACCTCTTGGTCTATTTGCTATTTTTACCTAACCCCACCCCAACAACACCTTTAAGTATGGTCAGATAGTGGGTGTTTTATCTCATTCCTGTGTGTTTACCTGCACACTAAGGCCTTGCACTCAGAGCCTTGCATTCTTGCTTAGCTTTTTCTCCTCGAGGCTGGCTCTCTACCATTTGAGCACTATCATCTCCACTTCTGGCTTTTTGCTGTTAACTAGAGATAAGATGCTCTTGGATTTGTCTGCCCCAGGTGAATTGAAACCTTGATCCTTAGGTCTCAGCTTCCTGAGTTGCTAGGATTACAAGCATGACCCACCAGCTCTGGGCTTTGTTTTAATTCTTATGTCCCTACTTAAGTGGGCTAGATTTGCTATTTGGACAACACTAGGAGGTGAGTGTGCTTGTGTGTCACCCTCACACCACTACACAACCTTGGTGATGTTTGGTAAAGGAAGGGCAGAGGAAGGGAGGGGAGGGGAGGGCGAGGGCAGGGGAGGGTTCCAAGTCCTGCCTCTGGGTGAATTTTTCTGAGTTGTGTTCCCAACTGAGTCCGGCACCAATCAGTGTGGTGACACTCAAGGTGCAAAGCTGCTCAGATCTGCTCCCTCTGCCCATAGACGCCCTGCCTGCCCCAGGGACAATGCCTGGACCATGGGAGGGATGGCTGCACATCTCAGGCCCAGGAAGCAGATGTGCAGCTGGTGGACAGACTACTGCCTCTGGAGGAACAGGCTGTCACCAGAGGCAGCAGGAACTACAGGAATGTGCTACTATAGGATCTTCTCCCATCCCAACCTCTTCCTCTTGCAGTTCACCCAGTGCAGAAGGCCTGCAAATGGGAGGAACCCATGAAGCACAGCCCAGATGGCCATTGCATCCAGTGCAAGAAGCCAGATGCAGCTAGCAAAGGCACTAATGCTGAGGCCAGTCTAGGAGAAGGTCTTTTTAGTGAGAGAAGGATCCTGGGTTCTGTCCTTCCACCCCTGGGCTTTCTGTGTGCAATCAGGACCTGGCAGAGTTCCCAGCCCAGGAATTGAGGAGAAAGTGGATTCCATGCACTCTTCTCTGTGAGGCTTCTAGTTCCCAGAGTTCTGCTGAGTGTATTCAACAGAGAGCATACAGCAAATTTAAATTTCCTCTTAGGCCTTTATAGTAACTTTGCAGACCACAGCACAGAACAGAAAAGGGTCTGTAGTTAAGCTAGCTTCATGAATCATTTAAACGTTTAGTGAATTTTGCACTTGAAATAAACCTCCTCTGAGTAAAGGTAAACTGGTTTCCTTTATTCTCAATGAGCTTGGTGAGAATACAAAGACACCAGATGTGCAATTATTGCTATCCTGGCAGATTTGTCATTGCTTCTGAGATAAAAGAAGGCATCTGAGATATGGTCCCCAGGGCACCACCCATCACCAACCACAAACACCTCCAGATGTCTCCATTCCTTAAAAGAGAGAGTTGTAAGCTATAGAACCTTATTTTAGAACCTACCACCATCATTGCTGGTGGTCTTCAGAGGCTGCTACTGCAGCAGCTATTCCTTAGGCTTGTTATACTGGTCAAATGTTTTAATTTACATAAATATCTTGATTTAGTGTGTTTATGCTGGTACTGGGACAAACTCAGAGACTTGTGTCCCTGGCTATTTGCTCAAGGCTGACACTTTTACGAATTGAGTCACACCTCCACTTCTGGTTTTTGTTTACCTAGGTTGACTTTGATATTCAATCCTCAAATTTTTTGGGGGGGGTCCGGTCGTGGGGCCTGAACTCTGGGCCTGGGCACTGTCCCTCAGCTCTTCAGCTCAAGGCTAGCACTCTACCACTTGAACCACAGCGCCACTTCCAGCTTTTTTCTTATGTGGTGCTGAGGAATCGAACCCAGGGCCTCGAGCATGCAAGGCAAGTGCTCTACCACTGAGCCACCTTCCCAGCCCCATCCTCAAATCTTAAGACTCCTGAGAAACTAGGATTACTTGTATGATTCACTAATTCCCAGCTGACTTTTTTTTTTTTAATACAGTACTGGGGTTTGCACTCAGGGTCTTGTGCTTGCTAGGCAGGTGTGCTAGCATTTGAGTGACACTTCTAGATTTTGCATAAGTTAGGCAAAATACCTTGTTATAATATGTACATGTATGCATATGCATATACTTTGATCAAATTCAGCCAACTGGAATGTAGATGATGAGGACATCGGGTCATGTACAACTTAATCCCCGTAACAATTCAACTCTGATATACTGAAAATCACCAGTAAACATGAATAATTGCAATTTTGCTGACCAGTTAAAAAAAGGTAACTTAGTTGCCTCCTTCAGCCTGTTCTGGGAATCACATTTTCCCTTAAGAGATTAAATTAATCCTTACTCTCCTTATTTGTATTAGAGATAGAGCAAATGAAAATAATAAAGGAAACTAATGAAACATCAGTTTATTCACAAATTATATACATATATACCCTTATATACATTCAACTTGCCATTAACATTAGACCAGTAATACGACCCTTAGTACACATTCTAGTGTGTTCCACATTTCTGGGGTACCCTTCAAGGTTTTATTTTCTGATGGGTCACAGGTTCTGTAATTATGTCCATAACTTCACAAAAATAGTGACTCCCTGGTTAGCAGTAACAAATATCAAAGGAAAACTGACCCATTCTTACTCAGCACAATGCTTTGTGGATTTTTTTTTTGCGGGGAGGGGGAGTTAGTTTAGCTTTTTGAGATAGTAACCAAAGCTAGCCTCAAATAGTAATCCTCTTGCCTTAGCCTCCAGAGCATTGGGATTAGTCATTGATGCCTACCTTTTGTTTTGTTTTTGAAAGACAAATTTCCATTCCACAGGTTTCTCAGAAACAGCTGTTAAGTGCCGACTTATTTATGAACATGGACCTAGCAAAGTATTTTTGCTTTGTTTCTTGACACTTCTTTCCAAGAACTGTATTCAGATATCTATGAACATTCTCTATCTTTATGCTTTACATTACTCAGTCTTTGACAAACTCTAAATTCTTTTTTAAAACATTTGTTTTCATAAAGGTGACATACAGAGGGGATTACATAAGTCTGCAATGATTACATTTCTTTTGATCCCCTCCCTCCCTCTTCCACTTTTTCCCTCCCATCCCTACCTATAAGGTGTATGGTTCATTTTCAACACTATCTAGTGAGTAATACTGTTGCATTTGTTCATCCTTTGTCCCTCCATTTCTGTGCCTCCTCTTACTCTCCCAAAGACAGATAAATTAACAAGCAAGACAAAAAAGAAAAGAAGTCTGAATTTGTTTGGGGGGGCAGGGGTCAGTCGTGGGGCTTGAAATCAGGGCCTGGACACTGTTACCCCTTTGAGCCACAGCTCCACTTCCAATTTTCTGGTTGTTAACTGGACCTAAGCGTCTCAGACTTTCTTGCTCAGGTTGGCTTTGAACCCCTATCCTCAGAACTCAGCCTTTTGAGTTGCTAGGGTTAAAAGCATGAGCCACCAGCACCTAGCCAAAAAGTCTGAATTCTTATCTCAATAGTCACATTTTTCGGGACAGAGGAATTCCCCAGATTTTCTAAAGTAAGTGCCAGGCCACATGCCACTTCAGACATTCGATCTGGGGGCTCCTCCAAGAACCTTTCTATGTCCACTGTGGAACAAATAATTGATCAGTGACACTTCCCTTCCTCCCCCACAGACATGCCACTCCCACTATGATAGCTCCTATCACAAGTCCTACACCTGTTGCCCAGTATGTCATGGCATTTTCACAGGCCTTTCACTCCACTTCTACAGCATGGAATATTCAGTGACGACCCAAGAGGCCTTCTCTTCCCAAGGAAGCTTGGCCTGCTTCCTTCCCTGCATCATGGATGACAAACCTGCTTAGGATGTATCTCCAACCATGATCACAGACAGAGACTGGGCTGGGATGGGGGGAAAGTGATGAGTTTCCAGGAGCCAGTGCCCTCTAGTGTTTGGAAGAGTGATGTTCTTGGCTGCTTAGGGATGTGAAGATTGTACTGTGTGAGTTCTCTGATGTTTGTGTAAGTGACAATTCTGACTGAAGGCTGCCCCACACTGATTACAGCGGTAGGGCTTCTCCCCTGTGTGAGTTCTCTGATGGACATAGACATGAGCACTGCGCCGGAAGGCTCGACCACACACATTGCATTTGTAGGGTTTCTCTCCTGTGTGAATTCTCTCGTGTTGTCTGAGGTCATAGCTTTGAGCAAATGCTTTATTGCATTGCTGACATACGTGCTGTTTCCCAGCAGTGTGCACACGTCCATGCCGGTAAAGAGATGATTGCTGGCTGAAAGTCTGGCCACAGAGCCTGCAGACATAGGGTTTGTTCCTTGGGCGAGAGGTTGGATTGGAGCCAAGGTTAGTTCTCCGAACAGTGGTTTGGCCGCATTCACTACTCTGGCAAGGCTTCTTCTCAACATGGGTCTTTCTGTGGCTATATAGGAGAGTGCTCCGGCTGAAGGCTTTTCCACAATCTCCACACTTGTAGGGCTTCTCTCCTGTGTGAGTTCTCTCATGACGTCTAAGATTGCTACTCTGTCTAAAGGCAGCCCCACACCACTGACATGTGTAGGGTTTCTCCCCAGTATGAATCTGCTTATGGCGATTAACTGATGAGTAATACCTGAAGCCTTGTCCACAGTGATTGCAAAGATAAGGTTTCTTCCTTGGCTCAGTGAATACCTGGAAAGTTGACTTGCATGCAGAATCTACCATGGAGTCATTACATATGAAGGGCTCCCTGTCAAGGTTGAAGTTCTGTGACTGGTAAGGAAGAGAGAAGCTATTAGAGGATTTCTCCAACACATTCATTCACTCAAGTCTCTGTTTGTGACTTCTGGTTGCTCTGGGGCCTCAATCTAAGCCTCCTATGCCAGATGCATCCTCCCACACAGATGTCCTACTGGGCTGGTTCTCACTTGCACAGTTTGTCACAGACACAGCTATGTTTCAACAACTGTCATTTTAACAATAAGTCTGAGCAGAGCAGGTAGTTCATACCTGTAATCCATACTATTCAGGAGGCTGAGCCCTGAGGATCTTGGCTTGAATCCAGCCTGGGCAGACAAATCCCAAAGATTCTTATCTCCAGTTAAGCACCAAAAAGCTGAACACAGAGTTGTGGCTCAAATGCTATAGGGCTAACCTTGAGTGAAAAAGCTAAGGGATAGACTCCAGGCCTGGAGTTCCAGCCTCAAAATGTGGCCTAAACAATAATAATCATGATAATAATAATAAAAGGTAAGTTTTAAATGTTTCACCAATTTTACTACAAAATTTGAATGATTTGAAGGCAAAGCTAAAAATCTTGAGTCCCCAGCACTCAGCTCAAGTTTGCTTCAGTCAAGTGATTATTATGAGTTCTTAACTGACCCCCAAACCAGGCAGACTCCCTTGAGACTTACCATTGATTGGAAATCAGGTTGTACCTTCTTGAGGATGGCCTGAGTAGGTGGTATTACATGCTTTTGAAGTTCACTTTCTATGTATGAAATTGTTAAGAAAAGATACCGTGAGAATTGTGCATGGTGGAGCTGGGAAGGTGGCTTAGTGGTAGAGTGCTTGCCTTGCATGCATGAGGCCCTGGGTTCAATTCCTCAGCACCACATAAGCAGAAAAAGGCAGAAGTGGTGCTTTGGCTCAAGTGATTAAAGATACATACATAATTTTTTTGGGGGGGTTCTAGTTGGGGGACCTGAACTCTGGGCCTGGGCACTGTCTCTCAGCTATTCAGCTCAAGGCTAGCACTCTACCACTTGAGCCACAGCACCACTTCCGGCTTTTTTCTTTTTTGCTTATGTGGTGCTGAGGAATCAAACCCAGGGCCTCATGCATGCAAGGCAAGCATTCGACCACTGAGCCACCTTCCCAGCCCCATAAATTTTTGTCAGGTGCTCTTGGCTCACGCCTGTAATCCTAGCTACTCAGGAGGCTGAGATCTGAGGATTGTGGTTCAAAGCCAGCTCGGGCAGGAAAGTCCATGACACTCTTATCTCCAATAAACTACCAGAGAACTGGAAGTGGTGCTGTACTCAAATGGTAGACTGCTAGCCTTGAGCTGAAGAGCTGAGGGATAGCGCCCAGGCCAAGTTCAGATCCCACAACCAACAAAAAAAAATTGTGCATGGTGGCACACACCTGTAATCTTAGCTACTTGGGAGAAAGAGACTGAGGAGATTAAAAATTCAAGGCAAGCTTGGAGAAAAATACCTTGTCTCCACCAACAAGCTTGGTACAGTAGCTCATGTGTGTAATCTGAACTACAAGAATCAAGGTTCAAGGCCAGGCCTAGACAAAGAGACCATATCTCAAAAGTCACTAACACACAAAGGGCTTGGGGCATAGCTCAACTACTTGTCTAGCTAGTGCATGATTCTGAGTTCAAACCCAAATACCACTAAAGAAAAGAAAGACTGTTGTCCTCTTCCCTCCCCAACTTGGATTTTCTTTTTTTTTTTAATTGTGAAAATACTGTACAGAGGGCTTACAATTACATGGGCAAGATAATGAGTACATTTCTTATCAAGCATTATAGCCTCCTCCTTTGTTTCCCCTTCCCATCCCCTGCCCCCCCCGACCCTGCACCAAAGTTGTAAAGTTCGTTTTCGACATAACGACTTGTACATCTCATTGTTGCAATGGGTCCACCTGTATCCCTATTTAAACAATTTGTTTTTCCCCTTCCCCCTCCACAAATTATACTGACATCAAATACAGTGAAAGTAGGGGTTATACTGTGGGGAAGGGACATACAAAGCAACAAAGAAATAATCTTATACATGTGTTCCAACTTGGATTTTCTTTATATATACTTCTGGGGTGCCAAGAACTCACCTGGCTTCAGGGCTCTGAGAAATTCTCTTCTTTCTCTCCACATCTCTCGAAGTTCTAACTGGGAAAGCACATCTGATTCACAGAGATCAACACCTGTTTATACAAAAATAAAAATCTATGTTTTCTGAACTGCACACAGATTTCTATGTGTGAGCCTTGACTCTGACCCAGAAGGAGGAGCAATTTGAACACTAAAAGCCAATGCCTGGAAGCATATCTAGTTCACCAGAGACATTGTGCTCCTTTACCCAGCATGGAGGGAGCAAGTATTTACTACAAGGTCAAAGACTTCAGGATCCTCATTTCTTTCCTTCAGTTTCCATAGTGGCTGGAACAATCATTATGACCTATTTCAGAAGACAAAATCAGCTATGGTCACAGCTGTGGCACCCGGATCTTCAGAGCATACTCCTTGCTTTATAAATGCTTAATACATTTGTTCTTCCATTTCACAAATACTTACTGAGTATCCAGCACTCTTCTGGGTGTTAGACATGATGTATAAAGAAAGATATACACTTATACCTATAATCCTAGCTCCTCAGGAGGCCGAGATCTGGAGGACTCTAGTTCTAGGCCAGCATAGAAGTTTACAAGAGCTGGGCACCAGTGATTTATACCTGTAATCCCAGCTACTCAGGAGGCTGGGGTTTTAGGATTGTGGTTCAAAGCCAACCTGAGCAGAAACTTGTCTGTGAAACTCTTGTCTCCAATTAACCAAAAAGCTGAAGGGAAGCTGTGGCCCAAGTGGTAAAGTACCAGCCTTGAACAAAAAAGCCCTGAGTTCAAGTATCAAGTACCAACACACACACACACACACACACACACACGCACACACACACACACACACACACACACAGAGTTTATATAGACCTCCTCTCAATGAAAAGAACTAGGCATGGTAGTATATGCCTGCTATCCCACAAGGCTCTGAGTTCAAATCCCAATACCACCTCTACTCAGAATAAAGAAAGACAGAAATATGTAGCGAGGAAATTTACATCCTTATGGAATGACAAAATCCAAAGTAAATAACCAAATTGCCTCCAGTTTGATGTGACTCCAGGAGAGGGGACAGAAGTGACAGGTGCAGACTCACCCACAGCCAACAGGTGGCTGATGCTCTCCCACATCACATCTCGGTGCAGCTTTCTCTGGGATGCATCCAGCATGGCCCACTCCTCCTCCGTGAAGTCCACAGCCACATCCTGGAAAGTGAATGCCTCCTAGAAACACAGCAGTCTTCATGATTCAGCCAACGTCATTCCCAAGTGCTTCCCCAAGCCTGAGTCCTGGAAGGCACTACTAAGAACAGCTCAGTTTTTCTTTTTTGGCAGTACTAGCATTTAAACTCAGTACTTGCAAGACGGGTACTCAACAACCTGAGCCATGCCTCTAGTCCTTTTACCTTTGGTTATTTGTTAGATAATGTCTCACCTTCTGCCTGAGCTGGCCTAGACCACAATCCTATGTCATCCCACCATAGTTGGGATGACATAGTTGAGATGGGATCTAGTGAACTTTTCTGCTCAAGCCAGCCTCAAAACTAAATCTTTCTTATCTCAACTTCCCAAGTAGTTAGGATGACAGCTGCAAAGCCCATTGAGGTCCAGCAAGTTGTTTCTCCTGAATACACTCTGAGTAACCTCACTGTAAAAAAAACAGCAAGTGCTAAGCACTGGTGGCTCAAGCTTATAGTCCTAACTACTGAGATCTGAGGATCGAGGTTTGAAGCCACCCTAGATAGGAAAGGCCATGAGACTCTTATCTCCAATTAGCCAACAAAAAGACAGAAGTGGAGCTGTGGCTCAAAGAACTAGCCTTGAGCAAAAAAGCTCAGGGACAACAATACCCAGGCCCTGAGTTCAAGTCTCATAACCAACAATATAAAAATAAAAAAGAACAGCAAGTGGGGAAGAATACTAACCACCTTAACCATTCTGTAATGAAATGCAAATTCTCCCCAGTGGTTACAAATTCTATACTTAGGAGTTTGTAGATAAATTCTATTTCTCAACAATTTAAATTAGTTCTACAGATTAACCAATGGGAGGATTAAATCTGCAGATGAACCAGTAGGAAGATTATCCAGGATACTCCATTCCCATGTATCGACTGTGGCATGGGGCATAATTTCCTTCAATATGGGAAGTAGGTGTGGCTTGAGTGGTAGAGCACAGCCTAGAGCAAAAGTCAAGTGAGTGCCAGGCTGAGTTCAAGCCCCAATACCAGCACCTACACACACACAAAATCCTCAATATGAAACTCATAGATCTCACCTATGAGATGGTCTGATAAACTCTTGAGAACGTGGGATAATTAAAACAAGCAAAAATGAAAAGTGTGTCATGTGCAGAAATACCCCACTAAATAAAAATTAAAGATGGGCTGAGCATGGCAATCTATATCTGTAATCCCAGCCACATACAAGATCATGCGCCAAGGCAAGCCCAGGGGAAAAACCTAAGGCTTAGCCAGGTGCCAGTGGCTCATACCTGTAATCCTAGCTACTTAGCAAAGTGGTAGAGTATTAGTCTTCAGTGAAAAAGCTCAGGGACAGTGCCCAAGTCCTGAGTTCAAGCCCCACTACTGATTGAGAAAACACACCTGCACACAAACAACAACCAACAGCAACAAAAACCCATGAGGCTTATGTGAAAAACACTAAGAGCAAAAAAGGATGGGGCAATAAAACATCTGCCCTGCAATCCCAGGACCAGAGTTTAAAACCCACTATTACCAAAAAAAGAAAAAAGTACATATTACTAGTGGCTCATACCTATAATCCTATAATCAGGAGATTGAGATCAGAAGATAACAGTTCAAGGCCAGCCCAGGAAAAGTCATGAGACTCTTCTCTCCAACTAATCACCAGAAAATCAGAAGTGGTGCTGTGGCTCAGAGTTCAGGGACAGAGCCCAGGCCCAGAGTTCAAGCTCCATGACCAACAATAACAACAACAAAATCTGATACAAAGTCCACTATTCTAGCCAGGTGTTAGTAGCTCACACCTGTAATCCTAACTACTGAAGAGGCTGAGATCTGAGGTTCACAGTTGGAGGCCAGACTAGCAGTCAAATCTATCTATATAAATCATTTCCAGCTCACCAGCAAGAAACCAAAGTGGAAGTTTGGCTCAAGTGGCAGAGAGCCGGGTTTGAGCAAAAAAACTAAGTAAGAGCACACGTCCCAAAGTTCAAGCCCCAATACTGGCACACCCATACACATACATGTAGCACAGATGCACATACACATGCGCATGTGCGCACGCACATAGTCTGCCCCAGGTATGTTCCCAGAGGTTAGTGCTATTAGGAGACAATAGAGCCTAATGAGATCATGGGCCCTTGGGGGCCACTCCTGAAGGGGCTCTGGGTCCCTGCTCTCTTTCTTTTTTCTCTGCCTCCTGACCAGGAAGTGAGGAGGGAAGGGGGAAGGCTAGCTATCCCATGTTTTCCTTCCATGTGTTGACCCGAATAGCAATAGGGTCACCTGATCATGGACTGGAACCCTCCCAAACTGACCCAAGCCAAACCCCTATTCCCTGTCAACAACTGTCTCAACACTCATTATGGTGGCAGAGCTAGCCAACACTGCCCTTAGGCCCCAGATTGCAGCTTGTTTGTCCTCTCCGTCCTGGCCCTCCACCACTGAAGCACCTGAGACCAAGGCCTGACTAGACTCACCTGGGGCCCCAGGGACCCCTGAGCCAGCCCCTGGGCATCCATGCTCCCTTATCTCCCACCTGTGCAAAACAGGGATGGCAGGCACCTCCTCAAAGGCCCTAACCAGGGGCTGCAGACACGGCCTCTGTGGGACCTGAGCATGGGCAGTGGGGGACTGGCAACATGGGATTCTGGGGTCACAGAGATGGGGTCAGATCCTGGTACATACCTTTGGGGTCACCGTGGCATGGTCATAACTGTCCATTTCCCCTCTCCTTGTCCCCCAGACACAATCTGAACTCCGAAAATAAAGGAAAATCTGAGGAAAGAAACAGGAAGCTGGGTCATGCTCCCCAAAACTTTCTGGGATCAGCCAACCACCGCATCGTGCCAAGGGTGAATGGCCTGGGGAAGCAAAAACTCCCGCTTCACAAAGGCTAAGAAGAGCCAGGTGCTGGTGGCTCCCACCTGTAATCCCAGCTTCTCGGCGGGATGAGATCTGACATTCAAGGCTCCAGGCTAGCCAGCCAGCCAAAGCCAAGAGACTCTTGTCTCCTAAGTACCAGCAAAAAGTAGGCAGTGGAGGGGCTGGGAAGGTGGCTCAGTGGTAGAGCGCTTGCCTTGCATGCATGAGGCCCTGGGTTCGATTCCTCAGCACCACATAAGCAAAAAGAATAAAAGCTGGAAGTTGCACTGTGGCTCAAATGGTAGAGTGCTAGCCTTGAGCTGAAGAGCTGAGGGACAGCGCCCAGGCCCAGAGTTCAGGCCCCACAACCGGACCCCCCCCTCCAAAAAAAAAGTAGGAAGTGGAATGTGGCTCAAGTGAAAAAAACAAACCAACAATACCTTGTGGCCCTGAGTGCAAGTTCCAGTATTGATATGCACATACAAGCATGTACAATGATAAATCCCATCTCTGACTTTTTAAGCTGAAGAATCTTCTGACACTAGCTTCTTCAACTCCAGCCTCAGTTTAAATAACAATATCTTTAAAATCCTATTTAAATTGGCCTCCAGACCCTCCCAGATCTCTTGATAGAAGCTCCTCAGGCTATTTTTCTAACTTGGCTGTCTAGTCCACCCTCTGCTGGGTTTCCTAACCGATCAGTTCCTGGAGCCCTGAAAGAACAAAATTTGATGACTATCAAGTTATTTACAGAAACTTCACAGCGTTGTCAAAAGCTCTGCTCATCTTTTTTTTTTTTTTTTTAATTTTTTTTTGGGTCCAGTCGTGGGGCCTGAACTCTGGGCCTGGGCGCTGTCCCTCAGCTCTTCAGCTCCATAGCACCACTTCCGGCTTTTTTTTTCTGCTTATGTGGTGCTGAGGAATCGAACCCAGGGCCTCATGCATGCAAGGCAAACACTCTACCACTGAGCCACCTTCCCAGCCCCATCTGCTCATCTTATATACACAGCCATCCCTAGATGAGCTGAAAGACTAGCATGATGTACACGCTGTGCGTTACGTGGTGAAGACAGAAGTCTGTAAGTGGTCAACACAGATGCAATTCTCTACAAATGTTTTCAATCCAAATTTGATCAAACCCTTAGATATGGAATGTATGGATAAGGAAGGACAGCTGTAGGTTTTTTTCTTTCTTTTTCTCCATCTCTCCCTCCCTCCCTTCCTGCCAGTACCAGAGCTTAGGCCTTGAATTCTTGCTTAGCTTTTTCACTCAAGACTGGCACTCTACCACTTGAGCCACAACTCCACTACCAGATTTTTGCTAATTAGTTGGAGATAAGAGTCACAGTGGGCAGATTTGGAACTTCCATGGTCAGATCTCTGCTCCATGAATAGCTAGAGTTATAGGCATGAGCCACTGACACTCAGCTTTCTCACTTGCCTTCTCCCTCAAATTCTGAATTTTAAGGTAAAGAAAGGCTTCCCCGTGGGAATACTGGGTGCAAATTTCAAGCCCACAGAGATTCTACGTCAGCACAGCCTGTTATACAGTTAGCCAGCCCATAGTCTCTCTACAGTGAGATGTAATTTATGGCTCTCATTAGCAAATTCAGTTCCAAAGATGGGGGTGTAGTTCTACTGGAGCCCCCCCCCATCACCAGAGGAAAAGGAGGAGAGGAGGAGGGGGGTAGAGGAAGAGAAGGGAGAGGGCCTGGAGGGGAAGGAGTGCTGCATTTTCAAAACCAGGTCAGGCCCTTCAGGGAAAGAAATTTGCTCACCAGATCCTGGCAGTTGGGGAAGCTAGGATCTCCAGATTCTTAGGGAAGGTTCTTCTTACTCTCCCAGGACAGAGCCTGCATTTTACATAGTGGAGGATCAGGTGAGTGGCTTAATCCCAAGGACACACCCTGTTTACACCCACTAGGAAGTTCTAGTAAAGACAGGCCTGTAAAACCCAACAAAGAAGACAGGCTCCAGCGGCTCACACCTGTAATCCCAGCCACTCCGGAGGCTGAGATCTAGGGATTTTTGGTTTAAAGCTAGCCTAGGCAGGAAAGTCTGAGACTCCTCCCCAATTAAGCATCAAAAAGCTGGAAGTGGGGCTATGACTCAAGTGGTAGAGCAATAGCCTTAAGCAAAAAAGCTCAGGGTCAGAGACCAGGCCCTGAGGTTCAAATCCATAAAGTGGTGCCAAAATAAATAAATAGCTTAATCAAAATTTTGCTGGAGGTATACTCTTACGATCTTAGGACCCAGGAGGCTGCGAAGCAAGAGACTCTGCCTCAAAGTGAACTAAAAAATAAACCCAAAGTCAGCCTTTCACACTACAAAGGCTAGTTAATTGCAGAGGTTATGAATGGAAAAGATGTGCTTTTTAATCCTGTCAGTCCTTCCTGTCAGTCAGATTTCATACTTTTGTCTAGTGAGGTTGGCTTGTCCTGGGAAGTGCTAGGGAGTCTCAGGAAGGTCAGTCTTCTCTGAGAGGACTTCAACTTATTGACAGTTCTCACTCTGTGGGCTCTACAGAGAAGAAGCATTAGAGATTTCCAGAGACCCAAGGCCATGAACTGAGTCTGTTCTAGCAGTTGTCAGGAAGGAGTGGCTCAGGTGAGAGCCATCTAAGACTCCCAGGGGAGATGGGATGAGAAACAACATTGACATAATCTTACCCTATCTCCTCCTAATCATTTTGTTGTTTTGCTCTTTTTTGTATTGTTTTTGGTTGGTTCTGGGGCTTGAACTCACAGCCTGGGCACTGTCTCTGAGCCTTTTCACTCAAGGCTAGTGCTCTACCACCTCGAGCCCCAGCACCACCATGTTTTGGAGGTAAGGGTCTCATAGACACTTTTCTGCCCAAGCAGGCTTTGGACCATGATCCTCAGATATCAACCTCCAGAGTAGCTAGGATTACAGGCATGAGCTAGTGGCACCTGGCTCTCCCAGTCATTTCCAATAGTGGGAAAGTGAATCTGTGTGTGTTCAGGGCAGTCTGGCACCAATGTGACTCTATCACCAAATTGTCACCAACAATGGTGACAACTTGGTGGGCTTCAGTGGACTTTGTGTCCCTCTGATGAGGGGTCACGATGCTGAGTGTCTTTAAAGGAACTGGTCAGGAAGAGATGACTTGAGATGGGGTCATCTGTACTCTGAAACAGAATGTCTGAGGAAAGTTTGAGACTGAAGGAGACACAGGACCAGGATGGAAGAGGACAAAGACAGATGGTGGAAGTTAAAGTGGGTCATCAATTACATGACACTGTGGAAACAGGTTGGTGATTTTTTTCCTCAGGATAGGTTAGTGCTGTGATGGGGAAAAAAAAATCTCTCTTGTAGTGTTTTCTGAAAAGAGTTAACTATGTCTTCATAGCAAAAGAATATAAGTATATTCAAAAGCAAAAGAATATAAGTATATTCTTTTGTTGTGTGGCTATCATGATTTTTTTTATTTTGTCTTTTGCTGATCTTGGAGCTTTTTTTTGGGTCCAGTCGTGGGGCCTGAACTCTGGGCCTGGGCACTGTCCCTCAGCTCTTCAGCTCAAGGCTAGCGCTCTACCACTTGAGTCACAGCGCCACTTCTGGCTTTTTTCTTTTTGCTTATGTGGTGCTGAGGAATCGAACTGCCATGCATGCAAGGCAAGCGCTCTACCACTGAGCCACCTTCCCAGCCCTGATCTTGGAGCTTTAACTCTGGGCTTGGTCTCTGTCCCTGAGCTTTTGTGCTCAACGTTAGTGCTCCGTCACTGGAGCCAAGTTCCACATTTGGCTTTTTAGTGGTTAATTAAAGATAAGAGTCTCACAGATTTTCTCACCTAGCTGCCTACTGTGTAGCTAAGATTACAGGGGATTACCTATTATAAGGGATTAAGTATTGTCAGGTGCAGGGTAGGGTGTTCAAAAGCTCCTTCAGAGCTAGAAGCTGGTGGCTTGTATCTGTAATCCTAGCTACTTAGGAGGCTGAGATCTGAGGATCATGGTTCAAAGCCAGCCTGGGCAGGAAAAATCCATGAGACTCTTATCTCCAACTAACCACCAGAAAATTAGAAGCAGAGCTATGGCTCAAAGGGGTAGAGAGTTAGCCTTGAGCAGAAAAGCTCAGGGTCAGCGCTCCAGCCCTGAGTTCAAGCCCCACTGCCAACAAAAACCAAAATGCCCCTTCAGCTTGGAGGACTCCCTAACTCCCACTTCAAATTCAAATACACGGTCCAAAGCCTTCACCACAGACAGCACTGCGGGCATCACTTGCTCCAGGGAACAGCAGGAAGGCCTGCAGCACACAGGATATGACAAGAACTACTCAAGGCTGGCTGCCAGAAGTCAATCACACCAAACCTGTTGGAATGTGACTTGCTGGGTCAGGCTTTCTTTTTTTTTTTTTTGGTCGTTTGTGAAGCTTGAACTCTGGGCCTGGGTGCTGTCCCTCAGCTCTTCAGCTCAAGGAGAGCGCTCCACCACTTGAACTACAGCACCACTTCCTGTTTTCTGGTGGTTTATTGGAGATAGGAGTCTCATGGTCTCTCCTGCCCGGGCTGGCTTTGAACCATGATCCTTAGATCTCAGCCTCCTGAGTAGCTAGGATTACAGGCGTGAGCCACCAGCGCCCGGCTGGGTCAGGCTTTCTTGCATAAGAAGTGTTCATTTCTTTGAGGGGCTCAGCAACTGGGTTATTCCACCTGTTTTGCTATTTGTTTAGTGTTGTATGCAAAAGTCCACTTTTTTCCAGAGTTGCTGTATGATTTTACAGCTGTATATGATGCAGGAGTCAGCTAGTTTCCCCACAGCCTTGCCAGCATTTGATCCCATTCTGAGATTTAAGGCATTCTAATGGCAATGTTATGCTGTGTGACTATTATTTTAAT